AATGACGGTCGATCTAATTAAATGAATTATCAATGTAATATATGTTTACAGCAAAATTAACCAAATGCTTAGTATAATTCATTTTTAAAAGGCTAGATATTAAATTTTATTTTTTAAAATTCATTATCTCATAAACGTTATAATGCTTTGAGTTGGTAATAGCCTAATACTATAAAGAAAGTAAAAGAAAATTGATATAAATACACCCACAACATAGAAATTTCAAACCGGTTCAATTGATATAAATGTATCTAATTACAATCAAAATACACCCACGACAACACAAATTAAAATTTACAAAACCTGGCGAGCTACATTTAAAATTTTATATAAATACACCCACGACAAACAAATATCTAAACCGGTTCAATTGATATAAATGTGACTAATTACAATAAAAATACACCCACGACAAATAAATATTGATTGGTGTATTTTTTTAGTTAGTGGGCTAATATTGAAATAATTTTGTGATATTAATTTTAGTAGGTATAAGTTTTAGTGAGCTAAACTAATGGGATTAATGTTTGATAAGTTTTGTTATATCGCATTTTAGAGAATGTCATATCACAATAAATTTTGGGAGATTGATTTTAAAGAAGACACATAAGTTTTTTTTTTTTAAGAATCACTTACTAAATAATGTATATGGGATTCGAATTCCCAAAATTTAGTAAATGTAATTTGCGATGAAGGGATTTTCACTCAAGGACTTTAGAAAAATATCAAAGGGAAATAAATTAACAATTAAAAACAATGGACCGAGCCGGTTCGGTTCAATCGAAACCGAAGTCATATATAATGATGCCGCTTAGCCGATTTTCAGTAAAGAGGTCACTCACCCTAAAAGCTTTAAACCCTAGAAATCGTAAAGAGAGACGAAAAGGGGAAAAAGGCGAAAGCTTTACACAAGTTTTTAACAATGGCGGAACAACAAGAGATCATCGATTCCGTGTCGGCTCAATCGAACCCAGATCAGAAAGTGGATATGGAAGTCGAAGCCGCCGCTCTGAAAGCCGAGACCGGCGACGAGACGGTGGAGAAACGCGAGAGGGAGGAGACGGAGGATGGAGAGAACGGAGGTGATTCGAAGAAGCAGAAGGTGGGAGAAGAAGAGAAGACTAACGGGTCGGGTCCGGTTAAGCTGGGTCCGAAGGAGTTTGTTACTTCTGTGGCCATGTTTGATTACTTCACCAAGTTTATGCAGTTTTGGCCAACTGATCTCGATGTTAATAAGGTAAGGCATATATGGGTTTCTCTTATTCGTTGTCTTTCTCTTTTCTCTAAATTGTAAAGTTACAATTTTTTTGGAAGTTTCATTCGTTTGCTATGGTCCTAATATGAGAAGTGGAACAATAACCTCTGCTTGTAGTCGTGCTTTGTAGTCAAACTGAGACAGCTTGTGAATTGGGTTTCTTTGCAGCTGCTATTTTGAGTTCTTGGTAACTGTATTGTGTGTTTTTTTTTGATTTTGGATTGAGTTTGAGTTGAAACTGCTTTTTATTGTCTCAAATTATTGATTGTTTATAGTGGTTGTGGATATTGGACTATGCAATGTGTGTTGAGTAGGGATACGGATATATTAGGTATATCAACATTGGTATCTTGGTTAAAATCGAGTTTTCTTGTGAGTTGTGGGTTTCTTTTGCAGTTGCAGCTATTACTGCTCAAAGCTTCTTGTTTATATGATTGTGCATAGAATTAGAAACTTTTGTCTGTCTACTGTCATTTAGTAGTTAGAAAATTGAAATGACATTGAATTTTCTGAGTAATACTGGCTTCAAGTGTACAAAAGATGAGACATTGTAATTTGTATGCTTGTTTACATGACAATTGTTGCAATTTCTTTCGAGCTTCTAACTAACTCTTTGTACTGAATTCTGTTCTTTACTGTACATTGCAGTACGAGTACATGGTGCTGCTAGATTTGATCAAGAAGGGACATTCTGAGTCTGAAAAGAAGATTGGAGGAGGGATCAAAACTTTCCAAATCAGAACCCACCCGATGTGGAAAAGCCGTTGTTTCTTTCTGATTAGGGAAGATGACACAGCAGACGATTTCAGCTTCAGGAAGTGTGTTGATCACATCCTCCCATTGCCTGAAAACATGAAGACTCCTGGAA